CATGTACAACACAATATGTAATATCTGAGCATGTGTATAATCTCTATCCATTGGTATTGGGGGAACTAGAACTAAGAGTCTTGGAAGGGTGCTATGTTCTTATGTCGGGCATTGCTGCAGTGAAGGCATCTCACTCTTTATCGACTTGTATGCCCTCATGCTTCTTCAAATCTAGCACATGCGGCATTCACATGTATTATATTTCTATTTACTTATTTATTTATCATTTCAATTCTAGCACATGTGGCATTCACCTGCATTCTGTTTTTATTTTTTATTATTACTCTCCTTTTGTGTTAGAACCATAACTTTTATAGCATATAAATGGACATAGTCGTGGTCGTGATCATCAACCGGTGTACGCTTTCAGCCTTATTCGCACTAGGGTTTTGATTAGGAAATTGCGATATTCGCAAAAAATAATAAGGTTAGGAAATTGCAAGCAAAACCAGTCTGTTTTTGTTGTTGTTGAGGAAAGCAAAACCAGTCAAGCAGTCAATGTTCGTTTGAATTTCTCCGAGGCGAGCGGTGCATGTTCAAATTTGACCACGGCCCGGCCCAGCCCGGCCTAAGAAGAAAGAAGTTCCCTGCCGCTCGGCGCTCAGTCAGACCAGGCCCAAATCACCGCTCTTGATTGCTTTGGTCCTATGCGGGCCCGTTTACACCCTCCCCCTGCCGTTTCCCCGGCCAGCGGCGGCGAGCGCGAGCTTGCACGCCGCAGCCACCCATGGCTGCCTGCGGCCGGCGAAGCAAGCTCCTACCGGGACGACCGTCCTCTGCTCCGGCCAGGACCTCCTGCGGAAACTAGCTGCTGTTCATACCCTAGCCCGGCGAGAGCGATTTCCCCGGTGTGCTTCGACGCCGCCGTCAGACATGCCGGTCGGCGCCGTCGCACTTGCGCAGCTGCTGCTCAGGTTCGCCGCCGGGTAATTCCACCACTCCTCTGCTCAGAGCAGGCGCTCCTGCGGAAGCCATCTGCCATGGCCATGGTAACCCGATCTGCTTTCCTTTGCCTTCTACTACTAGTGTAGTGTGTTCCTACTTCCTAGTGAGCCTGTGAATTTGTTGATTTTTTGCCTGCTTGCAGTTGCAGGGTTCTCTTGTGATTGTGAGAGTGACTAGAACACCACGCACTCGAAAATAATGGCAGAGATCGGGATACATCGCTGAGATGACAGGATAAGGTAATCCCCACAGGGCCACAGATCTCCTCTCTTAACCATTTGCATTATAAGTCAAAAAAAATTCAATGTCTAATTAAGTAGAAATCTGTATCCTTTTGTTTTAATATAGGAATGTCGAAATTCTAGTACCTTGGCTTGTGAGCTCAATCAAATTGTGAGAATTGCTATTTTGACTTCACCAATTGAAAATTATGGGAGACAGGGGGGAAAGGACATCAATGACAGAATAAGGCAATCTTACAGGTTCTCATTATTCAATGATAACATTGTGAATCAAGTCCAGGGGCATATGTTTCTATTTAACACAGTAGCATTACATGAAGATGTCTTATAAGCTACAGACAAGGCGGATCCTATCTAGTTGAGATAGATAATCAAGCTTTCTACATACTGGTGCAAGGCATTGCAATGCAACACGCTAATTAAGTATGCCCCTCAAATGTGTGATGCAGCATGCATGGTGATACTTCTTCATGTTTTATGACATGGGATGATTTTCAGAGGAGACAAAGGGCTTAGGGGGAATCTGCAGACTCTGCAACCTCCCCGTTAACATGTTTACCACCTTCGTCATTGACGGCCGATTTTTCGGGTTCCACTGGATACACCACAGTGCCACAATAGTCAGCTTTCTTATGTTTTCTTTCTCTTCTTGTGTCGTTTCCAAAGTAAGCCCCAATTCTTCTTCAGTGGTGACTTTCTCGTAGATCCACTCCGGAAGATATACCTCGTGCTGGCTCTCAACACTTGGGTCTGAATTCCTCCTTCCACTCACCATTTCAAGCACCAGCATGCCGAAACTGTACACATCTGACTTGTAGGATATTCCCCCAAAGTTTGGAGAATATAGCTCTGGTGCAATGTAGCCCATTGTGCCTCTTGCTGCAGTTAAGGTAATAATGCTTTGGTCCCTCGCACACAGCTTTGCAAGGCCAAAGTCTGAAATATTTGGATTGAAGTTGTAGTCCAGCAAGATGTTGTGTGGCTTGATGTCATAGTGGAGAATGCGCTGGTTGCATCCTTGATGTAAGTACTCCATCCCCCTGGCGACACCTAAAGCAATCTCTAGCATTTTTTCAGGCACTAGGAGTTGTCGAGTAATATTCGAGTCATGCGAGAATATGTGTTTCTCCAGTGACTCATTAGGCATGTACTCATAAATAACAGCCCGCCTCGTTCCTTCGGAGAAAAATCCCAGGAGGCGGACAATGTTTGCATGGTGGATCAGTCCGATGGTTGCAATTTCATTGATAAATTCTTGTCCCTCTCCTGTAGAGTTCTCTAGCATCTTGACTGCCACAGGAAGTCCATTTGGTAGTTTGCCTCTGTACACACTTCCAAATCCACCATGTCCTACTTTATCCTTGAACCGTCTTGTTATCTTCTTTACTTCAGAGAAAGTGTACCTTGTTGGTTTTGATGTACCATATGTCTTGAGAAACATTTCGACCTTCAAGTGTATCTCTTTGTTATATCTTGTCTTCAGCGAGTGGTAGAGTGCAGTGGCCACCGTCAACAAAAGTACAACAAATGCGGCTGCTGATGAAGTAGCTACATAAACATAATACACAAAGTCAGCATATGGCATTAGGAGAGAAATCCATCACTTGGTGAATAACTGATTGTGATGGTGATAAGAGAAATTAGACTGAGCATATTCAACAAAAGAATCTATGAATGGTGAATGACTTAGTTTCTTTTGTTTCTCGTTTTTGTGTGAATGATATGGGAAGTATGGATTGTAATAGTACCTGCAATGACTTTGACACGTGAACCTGCAAATGTCAGACAAGAGAATTAGACCAGGCTGATGGTTTAGTAAATAAAACGGAAGTTTGCTTCTTGACGATAAAAGGCAATACATAGCCTTAACAATTGCTATCAACTAGCATGTGCTTTAGTTGAGTCTAGTCTAAATTATTGCAATCCAGTTAACCCAGTATGACCTATCGTATAAAATATACGGGGATTGTCGCAATCATGTAGAGTTTTAGCCGAGTAAATAGCATAAAACTACTACTTTACAGGCTAGGGTTCCAAAAAACTACCAGTTTTTAATTTTTCGCTGATAACTACCAAGTCGGGGGTTGGCTGTTTCAAAAAACCCTAAATACTCGTTGCTAGCGATTTAAACCGTTTTATGACAGGTCGGGTCCACTCCTGAACAATCCGTTAGTTTGACCGTTTTGTTTGACCGTTAACTTACATGTGGGACCCACGTGTAAGTTGCCTCTTCTTCCTCTTATCTTCTCTTCTCTCTTCCTGTCTCTTTCTTCTTCCTCTCCCTCTCCCGGCAACCACCACCCACCGACGGCCACCTCCACCATCCGTCCCGCGCCAAGACAAGCTCGACCGCGGGAACGAACGCCGCGAGGAGGAGCAGCCGCAGCGCAGGAGCAAGGGCCGTGCCATGGCCAGGGGCTCAGGCCGTCGCTAGCCGCGCGCCATGGCCAGGAGCGCACCAAGGAGCAGGGGCCGCCGCGAGCCGCGCCATGGCCAGGGGCTCGGGCCGCCAGCAGCCGCACGCCATGGCCAGGAGCTCCTCCACCTAGCCCGTTCACCAGCGAGCTGCTCCACAAGGAACGTGGCGGCCGAGCCGCCGCCTTTCCCTTGGCCGGCGATCTGGCCGCCGGCGTGCCACGCCGTTCCTGATTGCTTTTTCCAGAAAATATCAGGGACCCGATTGCTTTTTTTAAAAAGTTACAGGGACCTGATTGCTTTAAAAAAACTTACATAGATACTGACATATGGGCCCTACATGTAAGGTAACAGTCAATCAAACGGTCAAACAAACGGTTCTCTTATGTGCGGGTCCCAACTGTCATAATCACGATCAATTTTAAAGCACTCCATGATTAGAGTTTTTTGAAACAGCCAACCCCCGACTTGGTAGTTATCAGCGAAAAATTGAAAACCGGTAGTTTTTTGGAACCCTAACCTGTAAAGTAGTAGTTTTATGCTATTTACTCAGTTTTAGCCACTTAGTTTCAAAGACAAAGGAAGATAAACAAACGGAAGAAAAAAAACCGATACCGGAGGCCTGTTGTGTATGCAGAATGTTTGGTTCCTTTGCGAGCTGAATGCACAACTCTGCCCATCACGCTCACATTTTCTGCAATTGCTAGGAATGCCATCCCAACTAACAGTTATTTCAGCAAAACTAATTATTCTTTCTGACATTTGCTTGAACGTCGAGCCATATGTGTCTGTGAGCCCCATCGGTATCAGAACATTTGAGATGGCCTTGCAGTCCAGTGGAAGCGCGTACATGTATAGACGAGCAATCACCAAATAGACAAACTGGCTTTGGTTGCTAAAGCAAGAGATTGGGCCAACAATATAATCGGCAGCCTTTTTAATAATGTAGTCATCGTCAACTTGAGTAGTGCTACTTGGTGTGAACTCTCTTGAACATTGTACTATTTTGCCAGGTGTGGCCTGGTATAATGGACAACGAAGGTAGGCATCATCTGGTAGATTTGTGGAAATGAGTTTCTGAAGAGGGCATGGAGACAAGGAGTGTACGAGTGGGATGATGATGAGGGTAGCACGGCTGTAATCTACAGCGGTCACTTTGCACGTGCCAAGGAGTGGGTGGAGTAGGATGACGTCTTGGCCGGAGCAAGCCAGCTTCGCGCATGTCGCACCACATGGTGAAGATGAGCTGCTGGTTTCAAGCTGGAGCGAGAACCGGACCTCAGGACCATCTTTGCTGCACCGTGACGGCGGGCAGTATCTGAAGAAATCCTGGTCATCCCAGCCTGGTGAAGCTATGGGCATGCCTGTACTGTGGCCAAGAACAGAGACCACGAGGACCGCAGCGACGAGAAATATACTACTCATCTTTGTCAAACCGCGCTGCAGAGATGGCTGAATGGACATGAAGACGAAGCTAAGCAATGAATTTGCAGGTAAGAAATCGAAGTAGAGGAAGAAAATCACTGGCACAGGTCGTGTTGGACTGAGCTAGCTGGAGCTCATCTCTCTATCTGTGGCTGATAAGAGAGATGCAGCTAGCAGGGGAGGGATGTGCCAGAGATGAGCATGAACTTTGCAAGCCTGTGTACATTTATAGTAAACAACCGGTGCTTATTGCAAGTGCCTGCCGTGGTCTGAAATCAGTATGTGCTTGCTGGAGTCCACTGTGGAAATGAGGAAGTCAGAAGTCTTCAGGAATAATAAAAACAATTGGTCCACTAGCTGTTGAGCGTTTGGAAGAATACTATTTGCCTCCTGTCCTTAGCTGACGCACATGTTTCAAAGTATTCCCTTGGTCTCCTGCTCTACTTTGACTGGGTTTGGCTCCTTCCGCTTGGGTTCCCTGGGTTTCTTCTTGTGTTTGACCAAGTCAACCAATGTCAGGGTGGCAACCATTATCATTACCAACTAGCTCCAAAGTCCGGCAGCTTCTCCCTTGCTGCTGTGTGTGAACCAACCGACCTGCCATGGTTTCTTCTCTCTACATTATGTGGCCGAAGGATGAAGACGAGCAACAAGTGAATGGGGACAGCTCATCTATGAAGCACCGATACAGCGACACGGATACGGCGATACGGGTACGGGGATACGGGATACGGCAATTTCTAGAAACAGCAATACGGCGATACGGTAAGTATATATAAATAATTAAAAAAATGCATGTAAAAAAGACAAAAAATACTGCCCCATTGGTTGCCTCCATGCTTCTTTTCAAGTCATGAATGATCATAATGTCCTCAATCTTCGTGGTGTATGCAAAATACATCATATGATAGTATTATAAATTGTCAATTTGGATAGACATGATCAAATAACACTCAACAAGCATGCCCAGCCTTTTCACCTACGACATCGGCATACATAATGTTGCTTGCACACTGTCAACTGAAGATTGACTGGCTGCCATGCCACTCCTGCTGATGCCATGTGGAATTTACCTCCCTAGCAGTAGTCACAAGCCAGCAACAACAACAGATCAGCGGCAAAAATATCTTCAGTTGTGACTCGCGAATCGCGATTAATGGCAGCAACAACAGCAGCTCGGCAGCAACTCAGGCACTCAGCAATAATTAGAGGAGCACGGAAGGCAGCACATGTTAACTAGCACGCAGCCGGAGCGGCAGGCGGCAGCATAAAGTTACCTTGCTTGCTGCCGATGGAGATTCAGAACGGGTGGCGGCGGCGACGGCGGCAGCGACGGCTCCAGGCAGTGGCGGCGGCGATGGACTCCAGGCAGCAGCGACAAAGACTCGAGGCGGCGGTGGCGGCGCGTGCACAGGACCGCGTCGCCGGACTAGATCGAGTCGCTGGTCTTTCGATGGAGGAGATGAGGACAGGTAGGTACCTGTCTAGGGTTAGGAGTGGGCTTCTACTGGGCTCGGGCTGTGCTTCCGTCGTCCCCGTATCTCGGGCGTGTCGACGGCGTGCCGCTGGCGTATCGGATTTATTTTCTTTTCTTTTTAAATCAGAAATCACGATACCTCTGAGATACTCGTATCGACGCCGTATCCTGCGTATCGGCGTATCGGCGCCGTCTGGTACGGGGATACATCAGTTTTTGACGTATCGGTGCTTCATAGCAGCTCATAGCAACTCTCTCTACTTTGACTGCTTCAACTCGGAAGCACCACCGCTGCTTCCCTTGTGCTTGTGCAAATCCATGCCAGGGTGGCATTAACAACCAGCTATTAGCTCCAGCAGCATCTATATTGCAGTGTGCGAAGCGAACCAACTGACGTCCTGCCATGGCGCTTCATCTCTCTACCACCAGGCGAGCCTTAACCATCTTTGCTGTGTTTGTGCTTGCAGTGCTCATTGGAGATGTCCAGGGTCGGCATCCATGTCAACCTTTCTCCTGTGGACATCTCCGAAACGTGTCGCATCCTTTCCGCCGGCAAGGCGATCCACATAGGTGCGGTGTTCAATCATATGAGCTGGTCTGCGCCGGCGGCAAGGCCAAAATTCAGATCAACACTGGGGCATACTTTGTCACCGAGATCAACTACACGAGTTCGTCCTTCTGGGTCGTGGATGCCAGCTTAGACATGAACAGCAGCTGCCCTCTTCCTCGCTCGGATCAGTTTCCTTATTTCAATGGGGTCCAAGGGCCACACAAGAGCCGGGAATTGGTCCCTAGTGATAGAGTTATCAGGGCTAGCTTCATGAACTGTTCGCGGGCTGTGACCACGAAAAGTTGTTTTTCTGGCTTTATGCCAGTCGCCTGCCTGAGCACCAACTACTCCTTCGTTTATCTGGTGACAGACAATGTGTATGTGGAAATCTTAGAGCCTTCTTGTGGTTACCTGGCTGTGTTTCTTTTTGGTGGTCGGGAGATCGACCATGATTTCCGCTATTATGCAAATTTTGTTGAGTACATGAGGGGTGGATTCTCTGTTCAATTCCCTCAGACGGAAACTCCATTGAATTATATTCACTACATCAACCGCTGCATCGACTGGTCAATTCGGTGAGTTTCGGATCTTGTTCCATTCTATTTGATTCGCCCATGTATGAATCAGGCTGAACTTCTTTGATACCTTTTTTCTGTGCCATGCATGCAGCGACCCAAATGGAGAGCCGTTGTTTAGTACAGGCATCAGCATCAGGAATAGGATTGTGGACATCCTTTATATCGACTTCCGTTTCTGGGCATGCATATTTGGTGTGAAGAGACCATATAACAGCGTAGTTCTCTATATCAGAGACATGGTTACTTCCGATGACTCACTTTATCATAAGTTACCCCCAATACTTGCTATGTGGATTCTGACGTGGATTGCTGGTGCGTTACAATACCTTTTCTTTTTTTACTTTTTCTTTTCTTTTCTTCTGCCAGTAACAAGTACTACTGTATATTCAAACTTGTTTATATGCAGTACTATGCAGATTCGCGTTGTCACCCCTCGTGGTATTGTTCTACCTTGCCCACAAGTATTGGAAAACAAGGATCACAATTGATGCAGTCGAGAAGTTCCTCCGGATGCAAAAAATGGTTGGCCCGACAAGGTACACCTACACGGATATAGTTGCAGTCACAGGCCATTTCAGAGATAAATTGGGCCAAGGTGGTTATGGATCGGTATTCAAGGGCGTGCTACTCCCAGGCGATGTTCATGTGGCCATCAAGATGTTAGATGGTAAAGCCAATTGCAATGGAGAAGATTTTATCAGCGAGGTCTCCACCCTCGGCAGGATCCACCACGTCAATGTGGTGCGTCTGGTTGGGTTCTGCTCAGAGGAAATGAAGAGGGCACTGGTCTATGAGTACATGCCTCGAGGTTCTCTTGACAAGTACATCTTCTCAGCCGAGAAGACTTTCTCCTGGGACAAGCTCGTCGAGATTGTTATGGGCATTGCCCGAGGGATCAACTACCTGCATGAGGGGTGTGACATGCAGATTCTACACTTTGACATAAAGCCACACAACATCCTTCTTGATAGCAATTTTGTCCCAAAAGTAGCTGATTTCGGTCTTGCCAAACTGTATCCGAGGGACAGCAGTTTTGTGCCATCTAACGCCTTGAGGGGAACTGTTGGGTACATAGCTCCTGAGATGATATCTCGAAGTTTTGGTGTCGTATCGAGTAAGTCGGATGTGTACAGTTTCGGGATGCTGCTGCTCGAGATGGCTGGCGGACGCAGGAATGCTGATCCCAATGCCGTTAACTCAAGTCAGGCATACTACCCCTCATGGGTGTATAGCCGGCTAACTGAGCAACAACTGGATGAGAATGAGATATCTTCTGCGGTAGCTGAGATGCACAAGCTGGAGAGGAAGCTATGCATTGTTGGTTTATGGTGCATCCAGATGAGGTCTCATGATCGTCCAACGATGAGCGAGGCGATAGAGATGCTGGAAGGTGCCGTGGATGGCCTGCAAATGCCATCTAGGCCATTCTTCTGTGACGAAGGGCACACCCATGTAGATGATTCTTACCATCTATCATCCGAGCTGACTGCAATCACTGAGGAGGAGGATATGTGATGTAATGTATGATGCAATGCACATTGCCCGCAGAAAGATGCAGCTGCCGTTCTAATTACACCGAGTATGAAATAACCTACTCCCTCCGTCCCAAAATAAGAGTTGTACTTGAGACACTTATTTTGGGACGGAGGGAGTACTATGCTCCCAAGTCTTGTGCTTCTAGGTTAGTAATAGCTTGCCAAAGCTGAAGTTATATTCTGCACTTGCTGTGGAAACTTTGGTACCACGGTTGATATAATGTAATATATAAAGCGGGGCGAAAGCCTTTTTCGGTAATAATGTAATATATGGGTTGCTTCTAGACGGAGATAGTAGGAAGTAATCATCATCTCAGAAATGCAGAGTACTTTGTCTGATATTTTGGTTCAGCTGCTGCTGATATTACTGTTTGTTTTCTGCTACTGATACCTAATGTTGGCAGATGGATATTTTTCATAAAAAACAAACAAACTCAAACGGTCTAAATATCACAACCTATATTCAAATAATATCCTTACCTGTTGAACCATTTCATTACGGAATCAAACCACTGTGCAACACTTCAGCTTCATCATACCCAGCAGCAATGGCTATGCCTAGAAGCGCAAGAAGTTAATTAGTGACGATGTAGAGGAAAAAGCAAAGTTTAAGATCGCGCGAGACCGTTTAGCGGCAAACACCACAGGAGATAGCGGTCGCTAAGCCAATTAGCGGCAATTAGTATATGTGCATATTTGTCTCAGAAACAGAGGATTTTCAGCAGAAAAACAGGGGATCTTGAGTAGAAATTCAGACATAACCAGCATAAGAGAGGTCTATAACGAAGACCAATTCACCACATAATATTCGATATAAATTCAAGGTCTCAAGGATCATTAGTTCACCACTTAATATCTCGAGGTCTCTACCAGTTCAACAAAAAGAAGCATAACTAATTCCACAACACCACGTACATTAAGGTCTGCACCAGTGCAGCACTTACGGTCTCAAGCAAACGGAGCACAGAGGTTAGAGGCCTTGCCTGTATCTGGATATATCTGCAGGCGTACTGGGAGTTGGAGATGACATCATGGACTTGTCACTCGTCACCTTGCCGCCTCACCCGTCGCTACTTCCAGCTTGCCGACCCACGGCCTTTTCGGTGGGCGCATAGAGAAATGGAAAAAATAGCAATAAACTAATCAGACCGGCCCACTAGCGCATAGAGAAATAGAAAAGGTAGCAATAAAAATGAGGGTGGGTTCGTTTTCATAGTGCATAGGGCTGCTAGCCACTGCGCCAATTTTTATTTCGTGTTTACATAGGAGGCACACACTACTTGTAGTAAAAGTCCGACGTTTTTTTTTATTCTTCATTTTTTTCCATTTTTTTTCGTTCATTCTTTTTTTGGATTTCTTATTTTTCTCCGCATTTTTTTTTTCATTATAATTTCGTTTTTCTTTTGGTTTCTCTTTGTTTCTTTCATGGTTTTCGTCATTTTTCTTTTCTTTCCCATTTTCGTTCTTTTATTCTTCAGTATTTATAGTATTTCAATTTTTATTTATTTCTTTTGGTTTTTCATTCTATATTTTTTTATATGTCAACAACATTTTTATAATACATGTTTAACATATTTTCAATACAAATTTAACATTTTTTAATACAAACGTTCTTATATTTTGGGACGGAGGGATTACTCAACATTTTTTCCACACACTCTTTAAATAGTTTTTCAAATGCTTGTTTAACATTTTTTAAATACAAGATTAACATTTTTGAATGGTCAACATTTTTTATATACACATTTAACATTTGCCAAATGGTTTATTAATATTTTTCCAACACTTTTTCAATAATTTTTTAAATTCTTGATTAAATTTTTTATATACATGATAAAAAATTCATCATTTTTAAATACATGGTTTTTCTATACAAATTTAACATTTTCCAAATGCTTGATTAACATTTTTCAAATACTTGTTAAACATTTTCTCAAATGCTAGATAAATATTTTTATTTGGATGATCAATTTTTTATTTATATTTAATACATATCAACATTTTTCTATACACATTTAACATTTCCCAAATGCTTGATTAATATTTTTCAAATACTGGTTCAACATTTTTTTTTCAAAATGCTTGATTAAAATTTTTATATACATGATAAAAAAATCATCATTTTTTAATACATGATCAAAATTTTTTCTATTTCATTCACAATTTTCCGATTGCTTGATTAACATCATAAATCACATAAAGCATTGCACTCATAATCATTAATCTTAATTTTAATAGTAGGTTCCCACTCATCTAAAGCTCTTTAGGGATTGAAACTTTCAAGTCAAGTTTTTCTTCAAAATACTTCACCATAGCATCAACGATATGTTTAGTAAGCTTTATTTTGATTATAAGCATAAGATGAATTAAGCATGTAGTACAATATGTTTAGTAAACAACCCGTCTATGTCTTCTTGAGTATGACGAAGCTGAAACCCCAACCGTATCATATGTTACTGTTGCTCTCGTTTTTCTAGCAAATGATGTCGCCCTCGTGGATGCAGCAACAGTCGAGCTGAGCAGGACGATCGAACGGGGGCCCAATACCACTCTGTCCGGGCCCAATGCTACAAGTGGACAAAACCTAGCCCAGCTACAGTGGGGAAGGGGCGATGACGGCGGCGCGCCTTCGGCTCGGTCCAGTGCTTCTAGCAGCCGCTACATGGTCCATGGACCTGACTGTAATTTTTTTTACCCCTGGTGTTCTTTGTACTACCATGATTGAAAATGAACGGATTGGAAGTTTCTCGCAAAAAAACAAACCTTGGGTACACTTAGAGTTTACAACTAATAATGATGTGCTCGATAAATGGAATATGCATGGTTGAGACCCATGTTTAATCATAATAGAATCAGGCAAGCCATATATCATAAAATATATGGTTTTAGATAAAAGGTGAGTAATAGAAAAAATACAGGTGAATGCCCCATGTGCTAAAGCTGAAAAAGGATGGTGTACATGTGAATGCCGCATGTGCTAGAATTGAAGAAGCGTGAAGACATACAAGTCGATAAATACCACTGTTTTAAATAGCCCGCTATAGCTCCGCTATAGCACGCTATAGCGTTTACAAAAGGTCTTGCGCTAAGAGACTTTGGTCCAAACAAATAAACAAACATTTTAAATAGCGCGCTATAGCTCTGCTATAGCACGCTATAACATTTGGAAGAGGTCCGCCGCTAAGATGCTTAGCGCGCTATTTAAAACTATGATAAATACTGTGAAATACCTTCATTCGGGCAATTCCCAACGTATGAACATATGACCCTTCCAAGACTCTTGAGTTCTAGTTTCTCTAATACTAATGGATAAAGATCATACACATGCTCAGATAGTACATATTGTGTTGTGATGGATGAATGTGTAGGCTTGGCGGGCACCAGGAATTTGTTTACCACTTGCTTGTTTGTCTTTACAAGCATTTTGACCCTTTCGGCCTCCTTCACAGGAAGAAATTGGGCATCGTATCCATAACTACAATCCGACAATATCAATCATGTATCAAACTCATGGCAAGCGACTCACGGAATGTCGTTGGTGCCCATGCCCCATGGCACCCTCTACCAGCGCGAGCCTCGTGATGCCTCGACTTGATCACATCAAGCACCGAGGGAAGTTTTGTTGGTGGTTGGATTATGTGTGGTACAAAAACCAAGAAACCATCTGTCCTATAGAACCAACAACTGCCACGACTACCAAGTACATGTAGGCCTAGCTCGTCAGCAGCATTATGTACACTGCGGATCGACGGACCAACACATCGATTAATTCGTCTCTTCAATTGTGTTTGCATATACATGCATAAACTATAAAAACGTCTTATATTTTGGTACGGAGGGAGTACATTACAAGGAATACCAAGTTGCATTTTTGCTGTATCAAATCAGAGATGATTAGATGGACAGTGGTATCCCCAATCCACTAGGGTTTAAATCCTGGTGCTCGCATTTATTTCTGGATTTATTCAGTATTTTCGGCGACGCGCATTCAGTGGGAGGAGACGTTTCCGTCGACGACAAGGTGTCTATGGTGACTTCGTAAATTTCAAGATGATATGCCAGCTCAGTCTTTCAGAGGTGCTCATAGGGGTAGGATATGCGTGTGTGCGTTCATAGGGATGAGTGTATGCGCGTGTATATGAGCGTTTGTGCCTGTACTGATGTTCAAAAAAAAATCGTATACTACTGCCGGTGGGGGCAAGGGACCGGCACTTGTTGAACTCCATATCTCTTCTTGAGTCTGACGAAACTGAAACCCCAATCGTATCGTATGAAACTGAAAACCTAGCCCGCTGCTCCCCACTCGCCCAGCCTCCCCCATTTTAGCTAGCTAGGTCCTGGCGGCGGCGGCGCCGAAATGAACGAGAGCGAGGATGCCGCTGGAATGGCATGCACACGCCTCATTCCACAGGCCCATGCGAGTGAGGAGGGCGACGGAGTGCTCCGCCGCGGCTGCTTCCCGGCGGAGCTGGCCTCGCCGCTTGAGGACGACGATCTCCTGAGGGAGATCCTGCTCCGTCTTCCGCCGCAGCCCTCCTCGCTCCTCCGGGCCTCTGCCGTCTGCAAGCAGTGGCGATGCGCCGCCACCGACCCCAAGTTTCTCCACTGCTTCCGCATCCACCACCGGAAGCCGCCCCTCCTTGGTGTCTTCCACAAGCGCAGATATGATGATATCATCTTCACTCTCATCCTGGACCATCCCGACCGCATCCCTCCTCAGCACTTCGACCTCAAGCTCGGCGAGGTCTACAGCCGCATGGAGTTTACTTTCTTACTGCTCGATTGCTGCCACGGTCGCGTCTTTCTCACAGGCGAGCAGCGGGATGACGAGGTCGTGTGCGACCCCATCATCGGTGAGCAGCGCCGTGTGCTGGTTCCGCCCGAGTTCAAAGTATACAATGATGTCAAACTGGGCTGTGCTCCGCGCTGCCAGCAATCATGATCACATGCACGACAGCTGCCACTCGAGCCCCTCAAGCCTTGTTCGGTTGAGGTGGATTTTGAAGGGGATTGACAGGGATTGAGGGGGGTTAAACCCTCTACAAGCCAAAATCCCCTCCAATTCTCTTTAATCCCCTTGGAAGGAGGATTAACCGAACAAGGCCTAAGGAAGCGCGATGCGTCAAGCCGAGTGCTTCTTGTGACTCGTTATGTGGGAGACAAAGACACCATAAATACGGAGCTTTTATTCCCTGACCTACGCTGTAAAAAGCTAGCTAACGTGCGAACTTGCCTTGTCCCATGTGCGGGGCACTCCCTTTGCGTTCTTACGATCTTGCTTTTCTACTTCTATAAAAAAGTTTAAGAATTTCAAAAAAAATTGACTTTAAAAAATGTACACATATTTTTAACAAGTTTTAAAGTTCAAAAATACATTATGAATTTAAAAATGTCCAATTTTGAAAAACTTCAGAATTTACAAAATATGTTAATGAATTTGACAAGTATTCATAAATTTCGAAAAATATTCATACTTTTTGTAAAATAATCATAAATATAAAAAAATGTTCACAAAATTTTAAAATTTTATTTTATTTTTAAAATGTTCTGGAATTTTTAAATGTTCATGAATTCCCACACCGACGACTTTTTTTACTAATATTCTCCTTAAAATATTTTGTTATAATTTTGAATATGTTGTCACTCAAACAAACTAATGTTTTATTTCAAACAAACATTCCCAACATGCAAACAAACTAACTTTTTTATTTCAATCAAACTACATTGAAACAACATTCAAACAAACTACATTGAACATAGATATATTTTACATAGTTTATCCAAACTTAAACGAGTTCATCCAAACCTAAACAAGTTCATACATAGTTCATACTTAGAACGATTTTTTTTGAAAAGAACTACTGCTCGTCCTCGCCGTCGCTAGCCCTGAGATCGATGACCTCCACGCCGTCACCGCCATCGTCGCTGCTCCGGCCTAAGCGGTCCCAGTCGATGTCGTCTTCCTCCGAGGCCTCCGCCTGCGGGACCACTGGCGGAATCGCCGCCGCCGCCTGGATCGCTGTCGCCTGCTCGGCGGCCTCCCTCGCAGCAGCCGCCGCCTCTGCAGCCGCCGCCGCCGACGCCCGCAGTGCGACGAGGTAGCCAGGTGTATCGTCGGGATCGCCGTCCTCCTGGAGAACAACCTGCTCCATCGGCAGTTCCACCGCCGGCGGGGCGGGGGGATCGGCGGGCGCCGGCGCAGGTGGTGGAGGGGCCCGACGGCCGCGTGCATCTCGACGGAGGCGCGGGGCAAGAAGGCGGCGGCGGTCGCCGTTGAGATCGGGCGTGACGCCGGACTCCGCCAGCCGGAACGCGCCGATGACGGTGGCGTAGTCCTTGCCGTCCCAGAACGCGTGCCGACCGGCGATGTTGCAGCGGCCGCCGGTCCGCTTCTCCTCCGTGGTGGCGCCGAGCCCACGCGTCGGGTAGCCATTTTTGTCGAGCTTCCAATCGTGCGGAAGACGGCAACCCGGCGGCACGAGGAGCCCATACCAGAACAACTCCTCTGTCTCCGGCGTGCTTAGACTCGATGGCCACGCGGTAGATGGGGTGCTTTTTATAGGGCAAAGGGAAGCTGAGCCGGCGGGGCGGCGGGCGGACGGGGAGTAATTGCGACGGGCATCGGGCGGTTGGACGACATTGATGCCCATGGGAGGATACGGTGCGGTAGTCGGTGGGGCCGCAGTCAAGGGCAGTGGGGCGACAGTCGAGGGGACGGACGAGACGGGGCAGCGGGGCGGCAGTCGAGGGGAAGGACGGGACGGCGCGACGGGGCCGTAGTCCACGTGCCACGACGCGTTTCCACCAGGCGACGCGGCGTGGATTGACCAACCGCCGCGGTTTGACCACCGACGCACTTTGACCACACCGACGCGACGCGTGTACACGTACGTTGCCCTAGTGTAAAAAAATGCCGTCCGACGCGCGTACACGTACGTACGTCGCCCCAGTGTAAAAAAAACACCATCTACGCCGCGGGAGCATGTACGTCGCCGGGCCGCGCGGGTACGTCGCTGGGGCGGGGCTGGGGGAGGGGGAGGGGGAATGACCATCCTGCCCTTTTTTAAGTTTTGAGGTGCAGGGGTATAGGACGATCTGAACCGTTGATGTGTCAGGGGGTTGTATCAAAGAAGAAGTGTTTGGTAATTTTATGTACCACTGGTAATGTGCAATTCAGTCAAGTTGCTACTTTCTTTGTTCCCAAATACTCCCTCCGTCCCAAAATAAGTGACTCGACTTTGTACTAATTTTAATAGGAGTACATTTTTTATTGAAAGGTATATTATAAATGTCTGCTGGAACTGGTGTTTTCGACAAAGGATCGGCCTGTTTTTTGAAACTTTGGTAATCCCATGTACTGCTTGTGTTATATGTATGAAAGATTGCAAGCAGAACTGCAAGCATCTTTGCTTCAAAGTGCATTATTTACTGAAATGTGTGTTGTTGTACTTTGCAGGAAAGTGTCTTCTTCAAAGGAACCATGTACTAGCTAACCTGGGGGGAGGAGTGGGTCTCAAGGCCACATATTGTGTCATGTACTCACCATGTATATATCATCATGTTCTGCCGTGGTTTGAAGGCATTCATTCATCAGTTTCTTGGATGGCCTTGACAAACGCAGGTCGTGCTTCTTTGATGTTGATGCTGGAGCTATGCTGGGGGACGGTTCTTTCAAGCTCTTCGCATGGTTCAACCCCCAGCGCAGCTACGGGTAATTATCTTCTATCATCACGCACGCAAATTCTTCAGAGGAGAACACCTTATGTTCTATAACTTCTTATGTACCTTGTGTTGCAGCCAGCGCTGCACCGACATGATTCTACACATGGCGAAGAAGCCTAGAATTGATTGAGGAAGAGCTTCTGCGATAGAAATGGGAAAGAGTTTAGAAAACATGGTCCTCTGAACCCCTTGTCACACCTTGTACATACTGCTTGTTCCTCTGCTTGTACTGATGAAGCAAATTCTTATTAGTGTTGAGTACTATAGATGAGAAGAGACGGTGTATGTTAGCCATAGGTTGCCTGTTGTTTTTGCAAATACTGAGTAGAAGTCAGCAATATGCATGGCCGTGTAGAGTCTTTGTATATTCTTCCTCATGAACTACATTGGCTGTTTGGTAGTATGCTGATGGTTAAGGTGAAGTCAATGTACAGTTTTGTTCATGTGCCAATAAGTTCTATTCATTGCTTTGTTTTTTAATTTGTACAAATTAAGACTGAATATTAAAATATTGAAACTTGTCTGGAACTTGGTCTTTTTCGCATCCGCCATTGTTGTATGGAATACTAACAATTATGAAAGTTACCATAACTCATCTTCAAACTCATCCGAAACAAACGAATTTTATTTATCTGGAAACTTGCCATTTTCTTGAAACCTGATTCTACGCGATATTTGACACAAGAAAAAGGACTACTGATACATTGTTCTCAACTTACTGATTCTGATATAGCTATACGTACAAAGGAGAACTCCAGGCGTGGCAAGATAGGCACACTCATGTAATTTAAACATCCACACCTTATTCAACATTTGGATATCATTTGCAGTTCAAAATGAAGTAATTTTCTCTTGGCATCACCATCAGTTTAATTGATGTATGTGTTAGTGTCACTCAGAAGCGTGAACCCCATCAGTTTAATTGACGTATGTGTTAGTGTCACTCACAAGCATGAACCCATATAACCAGAGTGACAGTAGTTTGTGGGTGCATGCTATGTCGCTACCTATGTAGGCATCTGGGTATTTACAATTCAAATTCAAATGGTTCAAACCTCACAAATCGTATTCAAATTATATTCTTTCCTGTTAAAGAATTTCAACACATTAGCAAATCAGCACAGATAGTTGTACCAATGCAACGTCCAATACTTCAGCTCCATCACATCCACCTGCAATATATATGCGTAGAAGCATAAAACTTCAATTGATGACAGTGCCTAGGAAAAAGCAAATAGGTGATGGAAGGCACCAGTAAGCCTACACGGTTGAGCTGACAAACGTGACTTGAGGAAATAAATCACTTTTATAGATGAATTATAGCTCAACTTTTATACTTACAATATCAGTAAATGCAAAAAAGATTCCTGAAAGCAGTATACTTAGATAATTCATAATGAAAGAACTACATCTATTTTAGATGCATAGACTATTCTGAAAGCAATTTGTTTAGATACTTCACAATGGAAGCACTACATCTATTGTAAATGCAAGGAATGTTCTGAAAGCAGTAAACTTTCCCCTCATCATATCAAGCATACAAAACTAAAACACACCAAACTAATTAACTTTAGCAACAAAAGGATTTTGGGTATGTTGTTTTAGATATATGGAGTCTGATCAGTGCCAAGAAATGATATTTAATTTGGTGTTCTACATATCTCTTATTCACTTACGGGAGGGTCTTTGACAAGTGACGAAAACATTATTTCTGAAGGTATGGATTCAATACATCATCATCATTTTTATGCATGCATGTGACAAATCATTTGGATCTCCAACAAAGAAGACAACTGATGATAACATAAAGAAAATATAGCCATAAGTTAAGCGTGTCTATGTACCAAAGGGACAGTTTTTTTATTGAACTTAAGTTGTTAATGACTTAAGAAGCACAACATATATGATTGAGCAACGATGTAAAAAATAATTGGATGGGATTACGGCTAGAATATAAATACTGAGTACGAGGAATTACCTGGTGAATAAAACCCCGTGAAAGGATGGTAGTCAGTGATATAATATGCTTCATGAAGTATCTTGGATTGCATTGACCTAAGTTGAACCATATAGAAATTGAAGTCCACATATATAAGAAACACATCAGCATCCTCTGAATATCCGAGTATAAGTATAGTTTCCGCGCCTCTGACAATCTGACGAGGGAGCCCAAGAATGTTATGCATTTCAATGGTCTTCCACTGCATCCATGTGGCAACACCATGACAACTGATATTCCTCCGCCACATTTGGAAGTGTGGATAAGATAATACAATAAAGCCAACAACGCCATCCTCAACTTGGATGATCTGATTATGGAGGAAATTATTTTCAACCGGTGGCCCACTGAGCACAGCTAGACATTGCTCTCCCAAATCAAACTCAAGCATGTCATTCCTTGTAGTCAACCAGTAGAATGCATTACCGACAAGTGACGCAGGTCTATGAGCATTAATAAGACGATATGGGGCAGCCGCTGTGATGAGATTGCCCCATGCATTGGCCTCCGAGGAGTAGACACATGCCAGGGGTTGATGATCGTCTCTATACATGATCACCAGGACCACCTTAAAGGGGCTAGAGTGACAGCCGCCGTGCACGTGGCCCTGGTCGTTGGCAGCGCAGAGAACTGCCCCGTTGATGCAAGTACGGAGGACTGTTTTGAACACCGGCGGAACGGCCAAGCAGCGCTGCTCGCCAGTGATAGGGGTGCACACGAAGAGCTCTGAGCGCACATGGTCAATCACGAGGACGCGACCGTGGCGACACCCAAGCACATAGCTCTCTGAGGAGGTAATGCAGCGTCCGATGTTAAAACGCTCACGAGGAATGCGATCAGGAGCATCGAGGATGGAGGTGAACACAATATTGTCACGGTGGTACTCGAAGAAGCCTAGGAGGGGCGGTTTACGGTGGTGTGCGTAGAAGCTGCGGAGGAAGCTGGGGGTCTGTGGCCGTGCGCCGCCATCGCTTGCAGACCGCGGAGGCGCGCGGGAGGGAAGACGGTTGTGGCGGGAGGCGGAGGAGAATCTCCCACAGGAGGTCCTCGTCGTCCATCACGGTGGCCGTCGAGCTGCCCTCGCTCTGGCTCATGGCGGCGGGACGTACGAGGAACGGGGATCGAAGACGTACGCTGGGGGTAAAAGCAATGTTGGATTTCCTAGGCCCGATCGGAGACTATATATATCGTACGATGATTGATCTGTGGCATCCAACTGGCCAGGAAACAAAACAAACGTGGGCACCATCGTACGATGATTTCTTTTTTTTTTCTCGGTGCCAACCACAGTCCGTCGGAGGACCATGGTCCGCCGTGGATAGTCTTATGATGCGGTCTGCGCTCAATATTTTCATTTTTCGAGAAAAGTATATTTTTCATCCCTCAACTTTTGGTGAAGTTATATTTAGTCTCTTAACTTTAAAACCGGACAATTTACACCTACCTCAACTTTTGAAATCGGACAAGTTTAGTCCCTTGTCTAGGTTAACCTGGGTATCGCTGCTTACTCAGCGCGGTTTTGACCGGTCTTTGTCCACGTGGCGATATTTCTCCCTCCTACATTCCTCCTTCTCACATTGAATTACTGAGACATTTCATCAAACACCTAGCATGCACTGCACATCTCCAATTCTCCATTACTAGTTTTAATAAATGTTTGGGAACAAACGCACAATATCATCTAGCATTACCACAGTTTTTGCCAGTCACTAACGGAGAGGTTCTGACAGCAGGGCCACGATCCGAGACGTCAGATCGTGGGCTGTCACGGACTCGGACGTGGGTCAAGCCCACGTCTCTCCACGCGGCTGCGTCTATATAAGTGTGCGGTATCCCCTAACCCTAGCCGCCATGAACAGATCACATCTGCTCACGCGCACGCCCACCGTCGTTCCTTTGCTGCTGCTGCCGCCGGTGACTCCATCCCGTCCGCCGCGTACACGGTCGACGGAAGAGCAGGTCTCCGAAACCACGCCCTTCTGGTTCCTGTACGGGGTGAGGGGCGAATAGGTTTTTGGGCAGCGATTACGCGACTGCTCGCTTCCGATCGTCTACTTCCTCTACGTCCGCGTCGCCTTCATCATCACCATGTTCACCGACCCCGACCGTGCCGCCGCCGAGAAAGCTGAAGCCGACAAGAAGGCCGCCGAGGACGCCGCTGCTGCCACCAAAGCCGCGGCCTCTGCATGGCCTACTGGAGGGTATAACTCGTTTATCCCGCTCCTGATTAATTTCATATTAGCAGTACTAGCAGTATGTGTAGATTTGTCTACTGTTTGCTTAGTACGTGCATGTTTAGATCAAAGTCAGTACGTTATCAACTTAGTCAATGCCATGCTAGTGATTTACTCGTGGATTAATTTAATCGAGAAATTGCCTATTTACTCAACAATCCAAAAACCTATTATGTGTAGGAATTTTTCGGCAAGTGGCTTTGCCGCAGCATTGAAACCGGATAAGTTTACCGGTACGTATTTTAAGCGTTGGCAGACAAAGACCACTTTATGGCTCACGGCTATGAACGTGTTCTGGGTCAGCGGTGTGTCCACGGGAACGATTGCTCCTGAACAGGAGAAGGCGTTCAGGGAGGCAACCACTGTGTTTCTCGGAGCAGTTCTTAGCGTGATCGGAGATAAACTGGTCGACGCATATTTACATGTGCATGTCGCCAATGACTTGTGGCAGGCGCTCGAATCTAAGTTCGGGGCCGCCGATGCAGGGAGCGAGATGTATATTATAGAGCAGTTCCACGACCACAAGATGGTTGAGAACCGTCTTGTACTGGAGCAGGCTCATGAGATAATATGCATTGTTAAGGAGCTTGAGCTTCTGAAGTGCGAGTTACCGGGCAAGTTTGTCGCGGGCTGCATAATCGCTAAGCTCCCCAATTCCTGGAGGAACTTTGCCACCACTCTGAAACATCAGAGGCGTGAATTCTCTGTGGAGGATGTCATTGGCCATCTGAGTGTTGAGCAGAATTCAAGGGCAAATGACTCGCACGGAAAAGGGGCCGAAGGGACTTCTGTTGCCAACATGGTGATCCAGAGGAACTTCAACTCCCACAAGTTCAAGGGAAAGAACGGTGTCCAACAGAATACCGACTTCAAGAAGAAGGGTAAGAAGACCTTCAAGAAGAACAAGAAGGATGAGGGCTGCTTTACTTGTGATTCGACTGAACATTGGGCCAACAAGTGCCCAAACAAGTTTAAGAAGTCAGGACAGGACTCCAAGTCTGTCAACATGATCGTGGGCAACAATGAGAATGGTGCATCTGGGTACGGTAATTTATTTACTGTTTTTTCAGTGTTTCAACCTACCGATTGGTGGGTGGATACAGGTGCAGGTGTTCATGTGTGTGCTGACATTTCATTGTTCTCTTCTTACCAGGTCACAGGCCACGGGTCTGTATTGATGGGGAATGGCGCGAGTGCTTCTGTTCATGGTGTTGACATGGTCGATCTGAAGTTTACTTCGGGAAGGATCGTGCAGCTGAAGAACGTGCAGCATGTCCCCGCCATCAAGAAGAACCTCGTTAGTGGCTCCCTTCTATGTAGAGAAGGGTTTAAGTTGGTATTCGAGTCTAATAAATTAGTTGTTACTAAGTATGGACTATTTGTTGGAAAAGGTTATGAGAGCGGAGGGATGTTCCACCTTTCCCTCGCAGATTTCTGTAATAAAGTCGTGAACCATGTTCATTCGAGTGTTAATGAATCTGAGGTTTGGCATTCACATCTTTGTCACATAAGTTTTGGTGTTATGACGCGGCTAGCTAAGTTGGATTTAATCCCGAGTTTCACTTTAGCCAAAGGTTCTAGGTGCCTGTCATGTGTGCAAGCTAAGCAACCTCGCCAGCCTCACAAGGTTGCGGAGGAGAGACACTTGGCACCATTAGAACTCATACATTCTGATCTTTGTGAGATGAACAGTGTATTGACTAAAAATGGAAAGAAATACTTCATGACATTGATAGATGATTCCACTAGATATTGCTATGTGTATCTGTTAAATACTAAAGATGAGGCTCTACACTACTTTAAAATCTATAAGGCAGAAGTTGAGAATCAACTTGAAAAGAAAATTAAACGATTCTGTTCAGATCGTGGTGGAGAGTACTTCTCGAGTGAGTTTGATTCCTTCTGTGCGGAACACGACATTATTCATGAGAGGACGCCTCCCTATTCACCCCAGTCAAACGGGGTTGCCGAGCGGAAAAACCATACTCTAACTGATCTGGTTAACGCCATGTTAGATACGTCGGGTTTATCCAAGGCATGGTGGGGGGAGGCTATATTGACGACATGTCATGTCCTGAATAAAGTTCCGATAAAGGATAATGAGATCACTCCCTATGTGAGATGGGCAAAGAGAAGGACAACACTCTCGTACTTGCGTACTTGGGGCTGTTTGGCGAAAGTCAACGTGCCAATCCCCAAAAAGCGTAAGCTTGGAACCAAGACTGTGGACTGTGTTAATTTTGGCTACGCTAAGAACAGCGTTGGCTATAGATTTCTAGTAGTGAAATCTGAGTTACCTGACCAGAAGGTCGGTACAATCATAGAGTCTAAGGATGCTACATTCTTTGAGGATATTTTTCCTATGAGAGATATGCAAAGCACTTCTAGATAGGAATCTGAGGAGACTCTTGAGCCTGCCATTCCTATGGAATATTATGAACGGACACATGATGAAAATCCTGAGGAGGATGACGAGGAAACCCTTGGTAGGGGCAAGAGACAAAGGACTGCAAAGACCTTCGGTGATGATTTCTTCGTGTACCTCGTGGATGATACTCCCACTTCTATCTCAGAAGCGTATGCCTCTCCAGAAGCTGACTACTGGAAGGATGCGGTCCGTAGCGAGATGGATTCCATCATGGCTAACGGGACATGGGAGATCACTGAGCGTCCCTATGGTTGCAAACCATTGGGATGTAAGTGGGTGTTCAAGAAAAAGCTTAGGCCCGATGGTATGATTGAAAAGTACAAGGCCAGGCTTGTGGCCAAGGGCTATGACCAGAAAGAAGAGGAAGATTTCTTCGATACTTATTCACCTGTGGCTAGACAGACCACCATTCGAGTATTACTCTCGTTGGCGGCCTCACATGGTCTTCTTGTCCATCAAATGGATGTTAAGACGACTTTTCTGAATGGAGAGCTAAATAAGGAAATCTACATGCAACAGCCAGATGGCTTTGTGATAGATGGTCAGGAAAGGAAGGTGTGTAAGTTGCTGAAATCTTTATATGGCCTAAAGCAAGCACCTAAGTAATGGCATGATAAGTTCAATACAACTCTGACATCTGTTGGTTTCGTTGTTAATGAGGCTGACAAATGTGTATACTATCGCCATGGTGGGGGCGAAGGAGTTATACTGTGCTTGTATGTTGATGACATACTGATATTCGGAACAAACCTCAAAGTCATTGAGGAGGTCAAATCGTTTCTGTCGCAGAACTTTGAGATGAAGGACCTTGGTGTGGCTGATGTTATCTTGAACATCAAGCTACTGAGAGATAATGAGGGTGGGATCACACTTCTGCAATCCCATTATGTT